TGATTCTAAAGGTCCAAGTTAGGAGGGGGTCTATCACCATCACAATTATTTACTTGGTCAAGGCAATTCCCCTGGACTGAAATCCACACTTTCAGACTGGCTGTTTCTTCATCAGAGAAATGCTGTGAGTCCATTTCAAAGGGTGTGGCTGTAGAATCTCACAACAAGGAAGCAGAAAGCTATGAACTGAGAGCAGTAATACGATCTACCATAAGTGAGGTCCTGGGTTTCCAAAAATTTACTACTCATCTTGGTTCTCAGTGCAAAGTCGAAGATGTAAGCAACAAAACTTTTGTAACATTTGCAAGGTGATATGGAAATATTAGCAAAATACATGAGTTAATTTTCCACTGTAAAATTCTGTGTTACTAAGGAAACAGAAAGCACACAGAGATTGCCTTCTACCAAGAGGATTTGTCTGAAGGTTTATCTAGGATTAATTAAACAAAAATGGTTTATTATAACTTCACAGAGTTTGATGATTTAGACATTTATAAAATATTTAATTGATAATAACAACAAAGCAACTAAGACCTAGGTTAGAGAGACATGTTGAGGAGTCAACTCTTGCTAAAATGGTGAGGGCAATCTTCATGCTTTACCCACCTCCTAGTTCTCATCCCACCACATTCCCTGGCATTCACTGCTACACTTGTCTTATTCTCCTCAGACTTCTCGGGTTTGGTGCTGTCTCTTGTCTTCTTAGACCTAGACATACCTTTGTCCAGTATATTATGATCCACTGTGTCTTATTCCTTGTTGTTATACATTAAAAGATGGCATATTTTACACTTTTCAGCCTCTACTCTCCAATATTTCAAAGGCAATGATTATTCAGACTTCTAACACCATAGGTTGGCTTTGCATTTATTTTGTCTGTGTTCTTTCGCTCAACGTGAGATACATGGCAATGGATCATTGACCCCAAATGGCATTTAGAAGCCCACTATGATGGTCAATTGTGATTGTCAATCTGACTGGATTAAGAGAAGCCTAACACGTGAGTAAAGAACACCTCAACAAGTGTCTAGGTGGGTCATGGAGTTGTTGACTATGTCCGGTCTCTGGTCCCTTTCTTTACGAGACTCTTCCCCTATTATTCTCTGGTTCCTGACAACCATAAACTAAGCAGCTTTGCTCTGCCAAACCTTTCTGCTATTTTGTTTCTACATTGAAGCCAAATAAACATTGACTGAGCCCTCTGAAACCATTAAATCTATCCTCTCCTCCTTTAAGTGGGTGTCAAAAAGTTTGTCTCCATGACAGGATTGCTGCCAGCTCATCCACTAAGTGAATATAGCACAATATATTTAGTCATTCTACCTAGGCTAGATATCTGAATATTTTCCATTTTGGAGCTGTGATGAATGGAGCTACTGTGAATATTCTAGTTCATGTTTGAGGAAAACTAAATTTACAGTTTTCCTTAGATCAACAACTAGGACTGGAATGAATGGCTCATAAGACGTGTAAATTTAGTCTTTTTCCAAAGTGGTTGTACCATTCTCCAGACAAGATTTACATTCATCCATTAAGGACTTAACAGCCTGCACAGTATTTTCAAAAGAACACTACTAAAAACCCAAGTTCTTCTGATTCCCAGCCTGGAGCCTTTTTCCATTTAGGAAGTTCTGATCCTTCGTTCCATCTTTCCTCTCCTCACTATTACCGGCCTTTACCCTTTAATTCCTAGCGAGGCATACATAAGCCATTCTCTCTCAAGTAATTTTTGCTTCAAAGGGGATTACAGGAGACTCCAAATAATTTTATGAGACGTTCAGATTTCATAAGAGATCAGTCTGTCAGAAGAAATTGGAAAGAAGAGAGAGAGAGAATTTCAGTCACAGAAAAGTGTACAACAGAATTATTCAAATACCATATGGCCGTGGATCTGAATAAGCCAACCCTGATGAAATACAACAGAAGACAGAAAGCTCATCATCTATCATGTGAACTTCAGGGCAAATACTGGCCAACATTTAGCACTGGCTTCTCCAAACTGATACATGGGAAGCCAACAGGAAGCCTCAGGCGTCAAATTAAACGCTATCCTTTGTGTCTCTCACCCACAAGGCCGGGTCAGGAATCTGCTTCTGGTTTCATGAGAGTTTCCTGTGTCTGAGCCCAAAGCATGAAAAATTTAAGCAGGAAAGTTTTAGAAGGTTGACTAGAGAAAACCAAGCCCTGACTTCCTATCTACCCTCCCAACTATTTCTTGATTCTGTATCATAAATAGAGAAGATGATTTTTATGTATTTAGATTATTTTCAAAGCCTGAATTTGAATTTAGCTGAAGTTAAGGATACTAATTAATTGGGAATCACTCCAATACTTGAGTATAAGGCCTCTTGAGTTTAATGTGCAAATTTATGTAAAAATAATGTGAAAATTAGAAATGCATTGGCACATTTTTTTAACCAGAACTGTAGCACTCTGTCTCATCAAGCCGACTGCTCATTTGCAGGTTGTCTATATGCAAAGCAATCTGCCCCTGGGAGCCTAAAATCTCCTTAGCAAGTCATTTGAAATTTGAGAAGAGCTTTGTTCTGAACCTGCTTTCTGCTCCCTTCACTTTCTCTTCTCTGCTTCCAGCGCTGGGCCTGAGAAGGCCAAGTCTGGATCACACTTGGCCAACCCAGCCAATGAGCAAAAGCTAAATCTTGAGGCTCACCTGGCCCACCCAGCAGAGGCTGATCTCTAGTACTCCTTCCCATCTTGGGCCCTGTTCATTGGTCTTGCTCTGTAGCCTTTTTGACTTAAGAGAACTTCACAAATCCCAGCCCCCACAGCCTACAGGACTCCCATGTCCTTTGCAGACCAGACTTGCTCAAGGAAAGATCCTAGACCCTGGACTACTTCTCTGACTTTTACCTAAGTTTGAAAAGCAAAGCAGAGCAATGGAAAGGGATCAACCCTACTCAGAGTCATCAGCCTCACCCTACCTGAGGAAAAGAGCCAGCAGGACAGATACTCAGATGCAGCAGCAGGGGGAGTGGTTGGCTCACCTGCCCTGCCTCCTGGAGGCAGCTGTCAAAGAAGTGAGTCAGTCAGGGCTGGAGATGCTGGGAGAGGCCAGCAGGGCAGGATCCCTGTCATTCCACACCCAGGACTGAGAGAGAGGCCTCTCTGGGAATTGCCTCACTAATCATTGAGCTGCTGGAGCAGCGACAGTGGTGTGAGAGACAGCAGGATCTCCCGGGAGCTGGCAGGCAGAAAATCGGTTCTGATTCTGTGTGTACAGGGTGGAGAAGGGGTTGGCTGAGCTAAGGAAAGCCTACCTGTTCCAGAAAAGACAGTGAACCATGGTAGCTGAAGAGGCCACTCCTAGGACAGGAGCCACACCAACAAGGATTTCAAATCACTGCTGCCTTAAGGGAAGGTTTCAAATAGGTCAACCTGAGACTATGAAACATTATCCCCAGGTTCCAGCCACTGGGATGTGACTCTACTTAATCCTACACCTGGTAGCCCACATGATCGGCATACCTCCAGTTGATTCACATGATAGGAAGGCTTATCTACTCACAAGGAGTGGGTCTGCACAGGCTGTTTGTGGAGGCCAGGCTGAGGAGGCCGGCTGTTGTCACAGACATAGTCTATGGCCCCGATCGGCATGGTCACGACTGACTGAGCTTGTTAGAAAATAAAGCCCACCCCAGGCCCCCAGTATCAGAAGCTGCATTTTAAAGCCTCAGGGGATGCTGAGTTCTGGGCAGCTCATTCTAAAGTTTGACTCCAAACCTCTCCCAAGCTGCCCAGAGTGGGAAGGATGAGTTCCAACGTTCCCAGACCTCAACTGGGGGCCTTGCAAGAAGCACTCCACTGCCTCAACCCGCCCCTCAGGTTCTCATCTCAAACAGGGTCACTAATCCTACTTAATTGAAGATGAATAACTGAAAGGATAAATTTAAATCTGTCTTACAAATTATGGATCACAATTGAACTAGTATTCACTTGTTTTCCTGTGTTGTGTCCTGACTCAATAACTGGGTTATAAACATCAGAGAACAGGACAACGTCTCTACTTCTGTGTTGTGTTCCCTGTATACCTCAGTACAGCTTTCCACCCATAATGAGGATGTGCAGTGATCCATCTCTCTTGGTGGTCCTTCCTGCTGTAAAAATTTTTCTAATTCCAACTCCTGACTCTAAGCACAAAAAGATCCTGTCACTTTGACCTAATCCTCTGAGGTTCATCCCTCTAAATAATTGTATTGCCTCTAGCTATAAAGCACTTTGTTGCTACGGCAACACATGGGGTGATTTCGTGTGTAATTGAGGGTGGTTCTACCAGTCAAGCTTCTTCCCACCAGAAAATGGTCTGTCCTCCACAAGTGTCCCTGTCCCATAGGTTTATAGGAAAGCCTCAGAAGTTTCTCAAACTTGCAGATGTTTTATGAACCACAGTCCAACACATGAAAACAAAATGATACAAACAGTAGGAAAACCACTAAGGAAGGGAACTGAAGATCTTGCTTCTAATTCAGTCTGACTGACTTCTAATTTGTAATGCAGTGTGGTGCAGAGTACATGGCTTTTCAGAGTCTCAGTCCTCTATATATAAAGATAAGATAAGAATAGTATGCATGTATTCCTACAATTCAATCCATAGAAAGCAGGTTTTAATTTTCACTTAACTGAAATCATTCAACAAAACTTCCAAGCATTAAACATTAGCATGGCTATTTCTATGTGCACAGCTCATAATCATTCCAATAAATGATTAATTACAACTTTCTGTTTGGGCCAATAATTGTGCCGGACTTTTATGATTCACCATCTGTGTTATGTTGTAATGTGACCTCTCGAAACTGAAATACTAGCATTTATTTTTTTATTGCTTCTCTAAAGTGTCTTTTGAAAGAGACACCTAGAGCCACATGCTTAGAGAGGATTTAAAAGTTTGACGTGGTGGAAGTAAGCATTATTTACCCCAGCTGGCTGCTGAGACAGGAGCAGTGGTCATGGTGGACATGGCCATTAGAGGAGAGAGGCAAATAATGAATAACACTACAGGCTGTTCAGCCAATGCATCTGTCTGTGAAGGTGCATCATGTGTGGTCTCTGAGGAAAACGTCAATGCCATTCTCAGCACAATCTTGAGTGTTGTACTGACCATACTGCTGGCCTTGGTCATGTTCTCCATGGGATGCAATGTGGAGATCAAGAAATTCCTAGGGCACATAAAGCAGCCGTGGGGCATCACTATTGGCTTTCTCTGTCAGTTTGGAATCATGCCTCTCACAGGCTTTGTTCTATCAGTGGCCTTTGGCATCCTCCCCGTCCAGGCTGTGGTGGTGATCATCATGGGCTGCTGCCCCGGAGGAGCTTCCTCCAATGTCGTGGCCTTTTGGGTGGATGGAGACATGGACCTAAGGTAAGAAATCTATCTCTTCGACTACTGGCAATCGCATTGGGTTCATCTTTGAGAAGCCCATGGCATTCTGAGAGTACATCTGGTCTACCATTAATCTTAGGCATTACTAAGCAATTAAGTGGGAAAGAATAAATGCATTCATTTCATTGCTTTCCAACATAGCTTCTTGCTGTTATCATTAGGGGACTGTAGTTCAATTTTAATTTTTTTTCTTTTTATTGAGTTTATTGGTGCATTCTAGATATACAGTACAGTTACATTCGTTACTGGGATCTTGTACCTTTACATGACAGGTCTTGGTTCTCATTTTTTCCCCTGTCCCTTCACCCCCTCCTCCCCTCCCCATTTACAAACACTTTATTTCCATTTTTTTCATTTTCTCATATTTTTTTTCTTTTCCCTTATTCCCTTTCCCCTACCCTTCCTACTTTCCCTACACCTTTTGCCCTTTTCTTCCTATTTCACATTGTTAATTACCTCATTAGGACCTTGTGTACTATTATAGTTTTTCACACCAGAAACTCTATTTTCATGGCATTCTGAGAGTACATCTGGTCTACCATTAATCTTAGGCATTACTAAGCAATTAAGTGGGAAAGAATAAATGCATTCATTTCATTGCTTTCCAACATAGCTTCTTGCTGTTATCATTAGGGGACTGTAGTTCAATTTTAATTTTTTTTCTTTTTATTGAGTTTATTGGTGCATTCTAGATATACAGTACAGTTACATTCGTTACTGGGATCTTGTACCTTTACATGACAGGTCTTGGTTCTCATTTTTTCCCCTGTCCCTTCACCCCCTCCTCCCCTCCCCATTTACAAACACTTTATTTCCATTTTTTTCATTTTCTCATATTTTTTTTCTTTTCCCTTATTCCCTTTCCCCTACCCTTCCTACTTTCCCTACACCTTTTGCCCTTTTCTTCCTATTTCACATTGTTAATTACCTCATTAGGACCTTGTGTACTATTATAGTTTTTCACACCAGAGAAACTATTTGGTATTTACACATGTGTGACTTATTTATTTCACTTAAGAATACATCCCCAAAATGTACCCATTTACCTATGAATGACTCTAATTTCTCATTCTGTATGGCTGAGTAGTATTCCATTTTATTGAAAAACCACATCTTTATCCGGTTTCCAACTGATGGGCAGATGGGCTGTTGGGCTGTTTCCATGTTTTAGCTATTACAGACTGTGCTGCTATAAACATAGGTGTGCATATGTCACTGTGATGGGGAATTGTAGTGAGGATTCTGAAAGTCAGCACTGCACCAACTTAGGGAAGTGAACCGGAGGGGGCTTTGACCTCCACCAGGCAGTTTTTACATAGCCAGAAGTTTTCAAGCATAGTCTTATATTTTCACAATGACCCCAGACCTTAATGTAATGCCATGAATGTGGCCATTTCCTGTGATAGAAAGCAGTATATGAGGGCCAGGGATGTAGCTCAGTGGTTCCCCCACATGCCTCATAAGCGCAAGAGCCCAATTTCAATCCCTGGCACCAAAAAGAAAATAAAACAGTATATGTGATGCCGGACATTTGGCTGTTGAAATGGGCTCACTTTTTTTAGCTATATTTTAGAAGATAATGTTTGTACAATGATTCTAACACCTGAGAAAATGTTAGTCATGCTACTCTGTAAGGCGACCTTCTGTATGCATTGTATATATTAGTGGGAAATATTCAAATATTTCTTTAAAAAATCGAGGGAGTGAAACTTCAGACAGTGGGCAGTAATCTTCCAAAACACGTTATTCTTCCGGAGAAAGTATTGGGATAATTTCAGCCTTTGGACAATGTATTTAGATACAATCCTACCCTCCACTTATGTTTCTAATTCTGTGCTCTGAACACTATATCTTCTCCATCTCCACTTGAGCTACACTGGAGGTGGCAGTCAAGACACGTTGATTTACATTAACAGATACCTGTGCTGCTGAGCTAATACCGCACAGCTCCCGCTGGCTTTGACTGCTTAGATGTGGTTCCTGGGAGAAGAAACCAAAACTCTCTTCCCTCCTCTTATCACATTTTCTGAGATGACAGCCTTGCATTTCACAGCCTCTCGTGATTTTAAATAAATAAAACAAACAAACAAACAGTTGTCTGTGGCCTTTCAAATATAGACAGTGACACTTCAGCTCCTTCTCTGATTGCTTCCAGCCTGGAAATTTGTCATTTCTGAATCTGATCAGTGCATAAATACTTTCACCTGTGAAAACTGTGCTGCGGGCATCACGAACAGAGCACAGAACAAGTCAAGGAGAAATGTGGGTGACTTTTCAGGTGAACTTGCTGGTGGCTGAGTCCCACAGAGCAGGAGAAATCCTAACTCCTTTGTGTCTGCGCTGTTCCCAGATAACAATGAAATATTTCACCTCTCCAGCCTTAGTGATGGCCTCAGCCACCCCACCCAGACTTCTTGTTTTCCTTTCTTTGACTTCTTGGGGAAATCCATTCTTAGGCCTCTTTTGCTCAATGCTCCCCCAAAACCCTCAAGACCACCTGCCTTCTACACTCATTATTTTCTAGATTTCTTGTTTCATAGCTTTTCCTACCATGTCCTTTGTCATTAGCCAAACACTATTACATTTCTCATCTTTCAGTTCAATGTTCATTGATACTTTAGTTGTCCAAAATGCCTGAGCTTCTGGATTATCACAGTTCAGAGCCACCCCTCCCACTCCAACCATATAAACATCCACCAATGACTCTTTCCCTTGGCCTCCCTCTTAGTAACCAAGCTTTGTTTCTCTCACGTAGGATTTATTTTTATTTTAACAGCTGATTTATGTTAGACACTATTACATTCCAGGCACTCACAATACTAAGTACTCAAAATACTTTGGTATGTTTTATCTTCCAAAGAATCCTCTGAGGTCAGTACTATCATTTTCTGCATTTCGCAAATGACAAAATTAAAGTTCATAACCTTGACCAAGGTCATTGACATAGTTCATGTTCATATCATCACTGAAATCTGGACCCAGTTACCTACATTATTTTTGCATTATTTGCTCTGCATTATTTCTATACTTATTACTTCCAGTATCATCTATATACACTTATTTTAAGGCTTCAAACGTGCTGTTTCCCTTCTAATATGTTTATAATCCTTTGCATTCTTTATCACTGATTTCTCATTTATTAACTTCTTTTATTCCCCCCCACACCTTCCGGTTCTGCCTTCCAGTAAATAAAGGTAAATCCAAGCATCGAAGCCAAAAGTGTTTATTTTCTTATGTATCGATATTTTTCTTATTTCAATATAAATTCATGTTAGTATTTCTAGTTTTGAATTGCATGCCTTTTATAGAAGTTGAAATTTTCCAAGTAAAATCCATTTTTCTTTTGTTCATTCATTCCCCCACATTCTCAATGAAAATTCTCTGTGAGTTTACTCTCATTCTGAGTGGCTTGACTTTGTTCTTGTTACTGGTTTAGAAAGATTGTCTTGTGTCTCTGTGACTTCTTATTGTCAATGTCCATTAACCCTAAACCATTTCTCTTCCGACTTTTAACCTACACTTCCTCATGGTTTTTCAAGAAAGCTCTCCCACCATGCCATAACACAACTTCCTAAATTGTCTGAACAATAATTCAGAATTGAAGTTTTCAAGAGGAACTTTAACAGAAAAACAAGAAAAAAAATGACTTCCTGCTAAAAATTGTTCTACCAGTTAAAAACAAACAGCTCTGGATCTTCTTTCTCTTCACTTTAATGTGGGTCAGGAATCCCACCCTCCCGTTCATCCCTCTCACTGCAGGGGATGTGCTGGATGCTCAGGGCTAAAGGGATTTTATTGTGGAAATAAGTCTAAATCTGCTGTGATATGTTTTTTAAGATAAGAGAATGGCAAGAGGGAAAGGAAGAGAAAAAAAGCATTAAGAACCTTCAGTACTTTAATTATAAGTAGGACAAAGCACTATTAATAACAAATGCACTTATTTTCTAGTGCAGGAATGCCTTTGCATCCTACTTTTATCTAAATTAATCCATGATGATAATAGACTGAACTCCTCAGAAAATGTTTTAAGTACATGTACTAGCATTGGTGTTCATTAAAATATTTTACCTCTACTAATACAGATTTTTTATTCATTAAGTTTATTTTACTTGCATCTTTTAAATCCATTTTAAATGAATTCATTACTCATTTTTTTAAAGAAAAGATTAATAGGAAAGTTAAGCTCCCTGAGAGACTTTGCCTCCACCCTGTAGTTTGTCAAAACTGTGCAAATTTAACTACTTACACTGAAATGAATTCTTTATCATCATCTACTTTACTTTAATAGAGTATAGAGTTGTTGTTCTTTGGAGGAATGGTCAGGAAGTTTAAATATTTAGTATTTTCCTTCAAGTACACAGATAATACCAGTGAGAAATGACATCTCTAATTATCTGAATGCCACAGTTGTCCAGAAAAGAGAGAGTTTTTTATAAGAATTGCTGTATTTGCTGATGCTATATTATAGCAGAAGACAAAACTTAGGCACTTGTCATCATAGAAATAATAATAGCAAATAGTTCGCAGTGAGAGCTTGTGCTGTCCTCCACTCTGGACACCATTAGCTCATCACTGGCCCCTCCTAAGCCTGTGAGACAACAGTGACTATGATCTTCACTACAGATAAGGAAATCTGGCAAAGAGAAGCCAACAAAATCCCCCAGAGCCACATACTAACTGGCACTATCTTTGCCTGATCCAAGCGGCTTTAGAGCCCAAGCTAAATCTACTTCCCCAAAATCTTCTTCCTCCCATCATCACAGCGCTGAAAATATGTGACAGCAATTCCTCCATGCTAAAAGCCAAAATCCACCTCCTCAGCCAGACACCTTACTAAAATACCAATGCTTTAAGCAGGGCAATTCCCAAGTCTTGATTCTTCTGAACACACATTTGGCTAATTGTTAATGACCTACTCGGTATTAAGAATTCTGCCTCCTCCCTTGGCTGCAGGTACGTCTTGCTTTTCCTTTGGAAATCAGTTTCTTCCTCTCTGGCTATGGCCATTTGGGCAATAATGTGACTGTTTCTGGAAAAGCAATGAGGCCTCCTTCCCCAGAGGTGTACTCCCCTCAAAGGTCCCAGAAGGCCTGTCTCCCACCAGCAGGAAAAGATGCATGAAGGCCTCTGGAGCCTTAACCAGTACCAGTGGGTCTGCTGTTAGAGGTTCAACAGTGGACATCCGGGTACTCTGTGCCTTGCTTAGACAATTGGCTTAGACGTCATAAAATACCTCCTCTGACCCTTGAGAAGAAATGGTGAGGCATGGTAAACGCATGACAAAGTAGAAAGATCCTAGTATGGATGATGTTGCCTAAGGCCAGGCTCTGCACAAATTTGGGCACATGAGTATTTCTGCCCGTAACACCAGATGGTGCCACTGGTTGACATAAGTTCTTACAGGACTTTGTAGCAATGGACTGAAGTGAAGCAGCCGCCTTCCTGGAAAGCACAGGGGCACATGTCAATCTGCTCGTTTCCTTGCAGCATCAGCATGACCACGTGTTCTACCTTGCTTGCCCTGGGAATGATGCCACTCTGCCTGTTTCTGTATACCAAAACGTGGGTCGAGACGGGGAGCATCGTTATTCCCTATGATAGCATAGGTAAGCCATTCTTCCGAAAGACTGTTTAATGTCACCCGCGCGCTCTCTGCTTATTCTCTGCTAGAACCTTGGACCAGGCTCACACCTATTGGTTATTTAACTCTTGCATTTAGTGCCAGTTTTCATCCAATTAGAATGTCCTTCTAAGTCACCTTGGCCTTTTCATGACTATTGGCAGAACGTAAAGTCCAAGCCTTGACTCCACAGGACAAACTGAATTTTCTTCTTCACATCCCTGGGGAAGGAGCCAGTTTAAAGGATCCCCACACCTCAGTAGGGCCATGATCCTGGCCTTCATCTTTTCTTTATGCACAAGCAGAACTAGTTCACGTTAACGGTCGTTTGTATGCACGGACACTTACAGTGAAGATATGCGAAGAAAGTTCATGTAATGATTTCAAAATAGAAGACCCAATGAGCAACTGTGAGTGGCACCATGGGAAACTACCAGATAAAACTTAATCGTAGGAACCCTCCAATGTGAGCCATAGTTTTGTAGAAAAGTTGGTCCATATTTCATGACCCAGAATTCAAATTTGCTATTAAGACTATGTCTCCATTCATTTCAACTCCTAGATGTTCCCCATCTCTATTTCTGGGGTAACACAGGACAGTGGGAGATTAAATGGTTGGGGTAACATAGGGGTGAAGGTCAAGAGAAGGATAAGATGTTTCCTGGTTTGCCAAAAGCAGGCTTTCCCACAGAACTACCTTAACAAAGGATAAGCTATAGGGGAAATAGTACATCAGCACCAATCACCAGGTACATTACACATTAAATAGTCTTGTTTTCAGTTGAAATTGAGGACAGAGGTCTTCTTGATGAGTCTCCTCTAAAAAAGTGTGGGTTTCCCATTGAAGAGACCACACAACAAAGGCCATCCAGTGACTCGGAAGGGAGGTTTGTTAAAGGAATGCCTTGAGGTTTTGAAAGCTGGAATAAAAAGTCCCGTAGATTTCTAAGAAAGGGAATGCAAACTATGCACAACTGAATTGGGACAAATTTTTACACCATAATTGGGGTGATCAGTATTGCAATATTTTTCATAGTCTCCTTTCTCTCCCCTACTCCCATTGTATTAGAACTGTAAAAAGTGATCCTCTAGATACCTTGTTCAGTAAGGGTTTTCTCTGTATGAGATTCTCCTACGGCCCCTGGGAGACTGTCATATCAGGTAGAGTCTGGACTCCCGTCTGGTTGTAGAGCCACCCTTCCTGTGCTCCATGCTGTTTAGCTGATCGTTCCTTAAAGAATGTAGTTTGTTTGCATAGCAAACACTGTGGCGCCTCTCAAAGAACCTGCTTACTGACAGTGGCACTTTGATTACACATTATTTATTGATTAAGCAAAAACTTCAAGCCTTAAAATAGTCTCCTCTTGATATCCATTTCCTTGTGGAAAAGTGAGTAATTTTTAACTATCGCCTGAGCACTTGTACCATATCCTTTCATGTGAATACATTTTGAAAGGAGAAAAGCTGAGAAGTGGGTTAGCATCTCAGTAGAGGGGGAACTCATCATAATCAAGGATCAAGGGTGAAAAATAAGGAAAAAAAGGAAAGCAAAAGCAAAAAAAAGAGTTTGAAACATAAAGACAATGACTTTGTTCACCACGTTCGCCCAGGACTGTCTTCCGACCCAACATTTTTGTTGGTTTTCTTTTAGTTTTTTTGTTTTTAATGAGGACAAAACTGAGCTGACAGCTTCACACTATGTTATCATTACTTGATAAATGAGGCTGTTTAAGGCTCAGGGCAATTATTTAATTTGCCCAAAATGCCCGGGGAGCTGGAAAGGGTCCACAGGTCTGCTGTTCACCCTGCTCTAGGGGCCGGCACGGTGCTTGGGATGGCACCACAGTGCTCACATGTTCCTGTGGCTCAGGGGAAAAGACAAGGACATCTGTATGGGAAGAGGCCCGTGCACGGCTGGAATCCGAAGGCAAAACACTACGACACATTGTTGCAGCCACATTTTCAGTATCTCATACCAAGAGCTTTAACTCCATGTTATCATTAAATCTCAGCACAGCACTGTCGGGCAGACGCAAGTCTACTCTTTCCACATGAGGAGGCCAGAGCACAAAGGTGTTAAAATGATTGCACAGTTTGCACGGCTTGTGAATAAAACACAGTTCAGCTCCAACTGCATCCTGCCCCTATTTCACCAATAGAATCTTCCACCGCTCTCGTTCACTGTGGCTTTTCTTGCTCCCTTTCTCCTTCCTCTGCCACCTGTGTAAACTGGAGTAAAGACCAAGTTTTACTTTCAATGGTATAACTACAAGCTGGCCCTTTTTGATCTATAGAGACAAGCATTTTGCAGAGGAAGGCCAGGATAAACAAAACAAACAACCTGGGAAAGTGAGGCCAGACGACCACAAGTTCAAGCCCATCCTGGACAGCTTAGCAAAACCTTTCTCAACATTAAAAAGAGCTGGGAATGTAACTCAGTGTGAAGGCCTTGGGTTCCATCCCAGTTCTACAGAAGAAAGAAAGCCAGCTTTAGGCCCATGGGGAAGCAAAGAGTTCCAACCACCCACTCTCAGGGCAGAACCCCAAAGAGAGTAGAATCTTAACAAGAGGGCCAAATGTATCCAACATGTTAAAAGTGCACAACCAAAGCTCAATGCATGTGTGTTCCAAACACAGCATGTGTGCCTAGATTTAAGCTACCAGAATACAAACAAGTTCTATTAACAACATTTTAACTTCAGGCTTACAAACCTCACAAAATCTAGTGTGTGGTCTAGAGATCAAAGAAAGGAAGTGTCCTCCCCAAAATAGAATTCAGGGATCCTCGAAGGGGAATCTTCTGGAGGATCTAACTTCTATGCTCTTTCCCACGTGCCCTTCTCCACCATTATCTGCTTGCTCTCTTCTACTCATTTTTATTTTTTCTCCAGCTCTTAGTTTCCTTAGCCATGACTTAATTCCACCAAGTAATTTCCGGGCAAAAGTAATTAGTGACCCTTAGATTGTCAGAAGGGCTGGAAGGCTAAAGAAAAATTGTTTTCCTCATTATTAGATTCATTATAAATTAATATTTATAGCCCTGGAATCTGGAATCTGTGTTCCACTCCTCAGTGAATTTATCACAATAGTAGGCAACATCTAGTCTTAGAATTTCATTATCCAATTTCACTTTCGCATCCTGCTCTAAAAGGACATTTGAAAAAGAAACAGCCCGTGAGAAGTCAGAAGCTGTTGGAGCTCTATTGTCGGAAAGCAGCCATTGGACAAATGAGTGTTAAATAATATGGAGAAACAAACCATATGTCACAAGAGTGGCCATAAATTTCGCATGGTGAAATTAAAGTATGACTCTTTCATCTGGCTGCTTGAGCACAGTGACACAAAGAATTATAATTACCTGCGAGGTCACCAAATATATTATCTCACAGGAAATTTAAGGATGCTTTTTCAACCTATTCTCTCACCTCTGTTGTGGAGCTGAATAAATGAAGTCAGTTTTAACCGAAAGTCTTTAACCTTCAGAATACCTTGAGATCTTGAGCAAATTTTAAATATTTTCCATTTCTTATACTTTAAAATAAGTTGTTTATCTCTGCTACCATGAAGTAATAGAAAGATTTTAAAATATTGTCTGTAAATACCACAAGAACATATATAAGTACACATGTGCAAACCCATACACACAAATTTTGACAAGATATTTTTCCTAGAATATATGGGTGTCATGGATGCCCAAATCTTGACACATAGAAACGAAAGTTTATTGGTAGTAGAAGTAGCTCTAAAAAATCCACCCAGGATTTAGTGAAAGGATTTATATTACCAATATTATCAATTCTCTTCCAGTAATATTAAATTAGCTATTGAAGTAAGCAGAGAAGGGGTGTTGTGTTGTATGTGTGTGTGTGTGTGTTTGTATGTGTGTGTGTAAATCTACATTCTGTTCCATGAAATACTGCCTAAGCTTTTTCCAGGCCATTTATCTCTTTATTTTTCTCTCGTGTTGTATCATTTGCTGATCAAATTGATCTTTTGTCATCTTCAGGTATTTCTTTGGTTGCTCTCGTTATTCCTGTTTCCTTTGGGATGTATGTTAATAACAAATGGCCACGGACAGCAAAGATCATACTTAAAGTAAGTATCTAGCACAGTAGGCCGCACAATTAAATGTTCCACAGTAAGAACTAAAATAATATTCTTTTCCCCAATCATGTTGCTTCATTCTCCTTGCATAACTTCTATCTTCTGGGGCACCCAAAGTTTGAGTCACATAGTCCTCTCGACAAGGATGCCATTCATGGTCCTATCCATGGGGCAAGTTTCTATTCACCCTCTGAGATCCAACTCAAACATCGCCTCTCGATTTTTCTCTGCCCTGTACTCGTGGAGTATTGCTGTCATCTCTGCTTCGTGAGTTTATGTTAGAAAATCTACCTAGCAGAGATCTCAGACAACAGATCAAACGTTTCTGATTTCTGTAACCATAAGCCAGTTTGTATAGTAACTATACATTGCTCTTCACATACTGTATAAATATGCATACAGATAATACTGATAGAGTCTTACTCGGTGTTAATTAAGCTAAGTAGTACTGTTTCTCTGAACAAAGATATATAATAACTATATATTTTATAATATATAATTTAATTTCCATGTAGTGTAAAACTGTAAAAAGAAGAAAATAGCAGTGCCTTTTTAAACTTGCAGTTTTATATCTATATTCTTCTTATCAGAACAATCATAAAATATGGCTGAGGCAAGATTTTCAACCCTAGTTACAAAAGAAGACATTAAGATTCAGAAAAATTCACAGTTTACCAAAAGAGACAAGATAGCAGGAGCTGAATCTGGAAGCCATGTCCTCCCAGCCCTTATCTACTTGGTCTTCTTCCTCTCTGGCAGGATGATTTCCAAGCTGGAAAAATCTTCAGGTTAATTGAGCATGAATAGGGTAGATCCTTTGCATCTTTACAAACGTAAAAAGCACCAGTGTTTCCAGGGCTGACTGTGGCCCTCGAGGTAGAGACGCACAGAGAGGTAGCTTGCTTGTCACATTCCTGAATGGGGACAGTCTTCTTAGCTTTTGTTCCTGACAGACGCAGCCAGAGGTGCTTTGACACAGTCCCTGGGTTCACCCTTGTCTTTGTTCCTTACAGATCGGGTCCATTGCAGGTGCCGTTCTCATTGTACTCATCGCTGTTGTTGGAGGAATACTGTACCAAAGTGCCTGGATCATCGAACCCAGACTGTGGATCATCGGTGCACTCTATCCTATAGCTGGTTACGTCCTAGGATTTTTTCTGGCTAGAATAGCTGGTCTGCCTTGGTACAGGTATGATATCTTGCCAAATCCTACTGGGAATTTTCACTAATAACAGCTATTGCCTGTGTTTGTTAAGGCAACTGTAACGAAGTGCCACAGACTCGGTGACCTAACAGACATACGCTGGCACACATTGTCAGAGAAAGGAAGTGAGAATGAAGGTGTTTACCTGCTTGGCTCTTCTTGAGGACTACGAGGGAAGGTTTTATTATTGGTCTTAGTCTTCAGCTCGCCCATGGCCATCTTCTCCCTTTGTTTCTACACGTCATCTTCCCTGCATGCCTGTCTCTGTCCTAATTCCCTTTTTTATAAGAAAATTAAACATATTGGATTGGAACCACCCTCATCTTATATAATTACATGTGCAATGAACATGTTTCCATGTAAGGTCGCATTCTGTGATATCAAGGCTAGAACTTCCACACATGAAGCTGAGATGGGGTCAGGATCAGGCCACTGATGACAAACTAAACTCTTTCACCTTGAGCCACATTTGCCACATTTCTGACCATGTCATTCTAAATGAGCTCATTCATTCTTACAATAATGCAAATCCCTAGAAAGAAGACACTATCTTTATATTTATTTGCCCATTTACTTCTCAAATTATTGTAAACCATTCTCCACCCAGTGCCAGACAGACTTTTCCACTGTTATATATTCTTATTCTCCAAGCAGAGTAGCTTTAACAAAAGCAGATGTTTGGCCTTGTGATACACATGGATTCCTCCAGCAACTGGCAAGATGAACTCAAATACAAAGGTGTTCGATATTCAAAAAGCCTTAGCTCATGGGATTTAGTTCTAAGTAAAAACATTTCCTCTCCTATAAGTCCATCTAAAGCAACATAAAGGGAAAGTGCAGGCGTAGAAGCTGGTGCCCTTTGTGAGGTCAGATGTAGAGGCACACTGCTGGCACCACTGAGATGGGCTGCATTCATTGCATCCCCTGCCACTCACCAGTCGTGGGACATCTAGCCAGGTACCGTCCCTGAGTTTTCTTATCTGGAAGATGGGGAAAATGATTCTTATGTTGCAGATTTTGAAATGAGATTCAATCAAAACAATCAAATTTAACAAAAACTAACTATAACACATGCTTTGTTTTGAATGTTTGCCGGGCCCCTGATTTGTGCTCTATGTTGTTCCCAAGGAATCACTGAAGAGGATAAGATGAACATCATCTTCCATATATGGGACACCATTACTAACAAGCCCACTTCTCAAATATAGGGGGTTATGCAAAAAATGTAATGTTTAAATTTAAACATTTAAATTTATTACAGTAAAAGAAACATTGCCATTCATCCCTCTGTAAATAAATACTCCCCCTCACCTCGAGCACACTTGTGCCAATATTTTTGCCACCTCCTGGAAGTCTTCTTTCATGAGTGTCTATTCAAGGTGTGATGAAAAATGTGGCAAATCTTGCTGCTGCGTGTCACTCAGTGGAAAAGCCAGCTCATAAAAGTACTGGAGTGAGTCCTCGCCCACTTCCTCACTGGATCTGCTACCATGTGACTTCGGGCTCTTCCCCAAAGTCAAAATGACCGTGAAAAGTAAGCATCTCTACTCAGTTTAGGATGTAAAGGTCCCCAAAGCAACTCAACTAAAGAAAAGAAAAAAGACTTCCAGAGTTGCTTCAGAAAGTGACTAGGACAGTGGGACAAGTGTGTTCAAAGAAAGGTGAAGTGGTTTGAGGAGGATTCATGGCAATGTATTTTTATTACACTAATATTTTTATGTGAACACATCCTATATTTTGATCACACCTCATCTGCATAAATTAAATATGTATATAAGATTATGTTTAGATCATGCTACTGTATAATAATGTATTTATTTGGCATAAAGGCAAGTACTTTATGTTGAATCATTGCACATGCAGTCTATGTACTTGCTCTCCTACTTGCCTTTGATATTTTACAATAACAAAACAGAGCAACAACGAACACATGTGTTCCCTTAACCTCCCTGGTAGGTGCAGAACGGTGGCTCTAGAAACAGGGATGCAGAACAGCCAGCTGTGTTCTACTATCGTGCAGCTCTCCTTCAGCCCTGAGGACCTCAACCTGGTGTTCGTCTTCCCGCTCATCTACAGCGTCTTCCAGATCGCATTTGCAGGAGTACTTTTAGGAGGTAGGAAGTAACGCAGATTCAACGCCACCATCACATTCTTCTTTGGGAAATCCTAGAGTTGCTCAAATGGTCTTTTTAAGAATTCTTTGCTCCTGGTAGTAAATTGTATGAATAAAAGAGAGGGAACTCCTGCCCCATAATATCATCACGAATTCCCAAATACTGCTGAAAATTTATAATTTCATGAAACAGTTTTAGTGAAGATGATTTTTTAAATGAAAAGTGATAGTGGTGGATAGTCTCCACTGGCTTTCTTTTCCTCAGTAATCAGATCTATTGACCAATTAAAAGCATTTTATTCTGTTTGCTTAAATGCTTCCAAAGAGTCCGTCATTTTGGTGATTCTTCTCAAAATAGTGTCTTAATATACTTTTTAAATGTAGAATATTTTTCAGAAAAGTAGTATGCAAAAGATATTTTAAAAGCTGAATTATAACGGAGATATACACACATATAGTGAGATATACATAGGTATAGATGTTCAATTTATATAATTGAATCGGTTTAAGCAAAAATGTCCTTGATTTAAAGTACAAGGGCTGGTTGACCTGGTTCTTAATTTTTCTTTGCTATGGTATCAACTTTGATCGTCTCCTATGAGGCCCCCACATCCTGGCCTTAACCCAGTTGTGATTTTTTTTTCTATGCATTTCGCTTTCTAAGAACTGGTGATATTTAACCTCTACTTTTTAAGTTCTATTTTTTAAATAAAGAAGTTACTTTCAAAGCTTTATGGTATTTTAATGGGAGATACAAAGTGAAGGTGCAGGACAAAAATAATGTGAATATTAACTTACAAAATGCCAGGAGATAGTATTGTTTTCTTTTATTTCTTTTCTTTTCTCTTTCTACTTTGTTCCAGTATACATTCAGCTTGCCTGTGAGCTCAAATCATCCCCCAAATTATTTCCCTGAGGTCAGTCTCAAGGCAGGTCCTTCCTTTCCCAAACAGGACTCTCAAAATCACTGAAAACATTTCAGTGATCTGTCACCCATCCAAAAGACACAGGCCCGTGCTTAGCAACCTTGTCTTCTTGTCTAATAATCATGGTTTATCACATAAAAGTCTACTCTGTTTGGCTTATTGAGAGATTTTGTTAGTGGTGTACACTAGACAACCCAGAGAAAAGGAACTGATTGAGTGATAGAACAATTAAGTAAATTCACCCCTTGAGTGATTAGCCCAAGAGATTGGATAATAGAAGAACAAGTTGAAGGGGCGAAGAAGATGAAATACTACCCTCTATCTGGTAGCCTTCCTTAGTATCATCAGTGAGATGCAGGGCAGGCATCCTAATTAAATGGGTTTTGTTGTTGTTGTTGCTGTTGTTGTTTGGTACCAGGGATTGAACTCGGGTCCTTGCTCTTGCAAGGCAGGCCACTGAACCGCTGAGCTAAATCCCCAGCCTAATTAAATGTTTACAGTGCCCAGAAACACATTTCGGTGATGGTATTGAAGACTAAATATATATATATATTTTTTTAATGAGAGTAACAAGAGAGGAAGGAAAAGAGAAAGGAAGGAAGGTTGAAAGGGATAAAGAAGTTACACAGTTTGGTTAAATAAAATGATTGTATAAGTTCAGGAAATACCTGCTCAAACAGTTTGTAATAAACAATGACCATAAATCTCAAATTGAATTCACCAATAGAGTTCAGTGGCTTCAAAACTAGTGTTTTACTAGAAGCACAGGGACCAGTCCAAAAAAAGATTGACTTGGATGTGCTAAGACATTTGATTCTAAACATTGTCTCATCAGCTGTGTCTCCTAATGGTAACTAATGTTTACTGAACTTTTCTTATAAGGGACAGCCTTTCTTGGTAAGCTAATCTCAAAATTAAGCTGAAAATGGGTTACTGCCAGAGACTAGCAGTGCCCAACAGAAGTCTGACTACCCGTCACCTAAAGCTCTTCCCACAGAGCAAGGATTGGGTGAAGGAAGAGAGACCAGAAGTGCTGTTATGGTTCATATCTTTGCACAAAAGGCCATCGGTCCAAGGTCCTGGACAGTGCACCATAACATATGGCATGTTTATTGAGGGATACCACATTAACTAGCATGGGACAGCTTTGGAACAAACACCTCTTGTTCTTATTATCATAGAGTTTCACCTGAGGGCTGAATCCTAAAGATGTCTTGTAGTTGCCTGAAGTTCTATGTTAGGTCTTCCTGAAGTACAGTCTTCCCTCTTGCCACAAGTGGTCCTGGAACCAAGAATGACAATCGTTTCCTCTCACAAGCCTCCCATTTTAGAAAATGCAAATGGCTGAATGAATCCTGCAATTTAATCACCATCTAAAGTAATTGTGCAGCTTATGATTATGAAATTTACTTAACCTCCTGTGTATTGTTTTCCAGTTTATTATGCATTCAGGAAATGTCAGAGGAAAAGTGATGTGGAATTTCCAGAGAATAAAGACAAAGAAACACAATCTGAGTCATCCTCTCCTAAGATAAATGGTGGATTTCAACCAGATTCATAAAAAGCGCACACAAAGTGAGCAAAAAGGAAAATGCTAAAGAACATTCTTAAACTGCAAGTATATTAATTATTTGTTTTGGTGGGATCACTGACAGGAAGAAGTTCAAGTGTAGATTTGAACTGAAAATCTATACAAAGGGACATGTGGTCCCATTTTTTAATGTGACAAGTATTGTTTCATATATACGTATATATTTATATATATATATATGCTTCATTTATACAAGCTTATGCATATAGATATAGGTGTCCTTCAGTACCTAAATCCACAGGTATTCCAAATTTTATGGCATAGTGTTTTTATATACTCCTTGTGCCCTTTAAATCATCTCTAGATTACTTCTCATACCTACTACAATGTAAATACATAATACAGTGTAAATAGCTGTTATACTATATTACTTAAGAAATAAGGACAAGAAAAAACTCTGTTTTTGTTCAATACAGATTCAATGTTTATTCAAGTATTTTTTATCGGCAGAAGTTGGTTTTGTCTGCAGGTATGGAACCCACAGATATGGAGGGCCGGCTATGGACTCCATATACAGTATCACTGAAACATCTCTTAACACTGCCTGCAGGTCTAACATGGCATGGGTAACACTGAGAACTTCATAACACCTAGACTGAATTTTTTGTTTCCCCCATTAAGTTTATTGGTACATTTAAAGCAAACAGTATGGTTACGTTTATCATTTGGATCTTGTACCTTTATACGATATGTCTTGGTTCTTATTTTTTCCCCATACCCCTGCCCTCCCATCACCCCTTCACCCTTCCCTACTTACAAAGACTTTGTTTCCATTTTTTCCTTTTTTTCACATTTTCTCTTTTCCTGTATTTTCTTTTCCCTCCACTTCCCACTTCCCCTTTAGCCATTTTCTTCCTATTTCACACTATAGACTGAGCTCTAAAGCAGGACCTGGGGACCCAGACATGAGTGAGCACTTTCTATATGTTAAAATAGATATAGTAAATTATTATTATAAAACAATCAAGGTTTCTTCAGTATTTATGATTGCAAAAAGATTAACATGAATGTTGAACAGACATTTTAATCACTGTTTTGAAAACTTTGCACATATTTATTTATATAT